TATTCAGCCTTTAGTAAAACACAGACTTCGATTTGCTATCTTTATAATGAAAACAGACAATTTTTTTTTGTTTTTGATTCTTAAAAGTATACCATAAGCATTTACATGAGAAATGTCCATTCAGTGGGAAATTGCTGTGCATAATATAAAGCTTTTCAGTAACTGTGGGTTTCCTTTTCAAGCAGTGAAGGACCCACTCTGTGCAACAAATGTGAGAGTTCTTGCTTTGAATATGAAATTTTATTTGCATTGGAATAATCAGTATAAACAACATGTGAGCTACAACGTGCAGTATCTCCTGTGAGTTAAACAATTTCCTCATCTCTGTTTAAACAGGTTATGTCATTCCAAATGTCATCCATCTTACTTTGGAAATAGTTATTAAAAGTTGTTGTGAAATACTCTGCAGAAGTGGCTTACCATATTCATTGAAACATTGGGTACCTTATCTGGCAACAGTGTGACATTTTAAAAAGATTGCATATAACAGCTAGAATTTTAGGGTACTAGGCCTATTTTAAGAGTGCTAAATATCTGATGGAATGGACTGCTGAATATATGCTAAGTAATATTTTTAGAAGATGTGGAGTTTGCATTTCTTCACACCTTTTTGAATATGAAGAAATTGGATGACTAGAATGAGTAAAAATGTAGGTGTTCAAGATTTCAGTTGTCAACATATTTGATAACTTCTGGTCAGATCCCAACATGGAAAACCCTCCATCATATCTATAAACCTGTATTATAATATCCAGTTGTCACACAAATAATGTAGCCAGCATCTAAATAAAGAGGAGAGATACCTCTAATATTCTTTTGCAATTCCTCTGGCATGACAGAAAAACAATCGACTTAAGATTTTTCATATAGTTCTATTATCTTAGACCTTAAAAGCTTCTAAAACCAATGTATAATTTTTGTACTGAGGCTTGATTTAAAGCTGTAATTTGTATTTCCTGACCCAGTTAACTTAATTGTTTCAGTTATAAATGAAAAAACAGTATTCTGAATACAAGAAATTTCTAAGAGGCCCATTCTTCCAAAAACAGAAAAACCAAACTGTGTAGTGCAAGTGAACATTTTGCTTTCTTTTAGAGTTCGAGGAGCTCACATCAAAAACTATTAAAATATCTCTTGCAGTGGGTATATAAGAGAACTCGACAGTAGTTACTCAACGAAGTGGCTTAATGTACCTGGATGTGAAAATATCACTGATACACAATGCAACTTCTCATCTCTCATCACTCCCTCTGGATTTTATTATCTCCGTGTGCAGGCCAAGAGTGGATTTAATAAATCATGTTTGTCTAATGAAGTGAAAGTAGATCCTCTGAAAACAAGTAAGCAAATGTGTGTTCTTAAATTTTTATTGCTCAGCAAACTTGTACCTGAAACTATTATTTGCAAAAAGAAACTTGCTAGACTAATGAAACTGAATACGTGGTTTCTCTACAGAAACTGTGCTCGAAATCCTGTCCTCATCAAGTTAAATGGGAGTTTTTCCATGGTCTTCTCTATTTAGCACAGCCAGTATTTCACTGCATTTAGAATCGCACCATTTGCTTTCCTGCAAAGCATTCTATGGCATTTTATAGTCTCACAGTATATGGCATTAATCACTGTATGAGATTGTACTAGAAATATCCCTATATTGACTTGTGCCTTTGACAGGGAGAGCACTTCTTGACATCCTAGGAGAGTGTGTAACACTCTCCAGATCTTTGTTGCACGTTTTCAATTTTATGTGAAGTGTGACCATACTCAAGTGTTTGACTTCCAAAGAAGTTACCAGTCCTAAATGTCAAGAAATATTTATGTAGTATGTAGGGTAGTATTCCATTGGTTTTTGTACTGAAGGTGGAATCAACAGCTGTCCTGTACATCAGCTTTCCCTCATCCAAACTTTTGGAAATTAGATCAGTCTTTAAAAAGATAACAGTGATCAGGTAAATGATTCAGCAAAAAAACCCCAAAATTGTCATGCTTCTCACTTTTCAGCTATACGCTAACTGTAGAAAAATCTGTGAAAAAGAGAACCCACATCCAGATGAGATTAAGAAGTGTTCAGTGGTTTCACTTTGATTTGCACAGAGCTAATCCCACTGACTGTGTATTTCATGTCACTCAAACTTGCAGAAGCAACATATGAATGTGGAAAGATAAAATAATTAAAATATTGCTCAGGGCTCGAGATTCTGAATAAAGATATTGATTAAGATAGACTTTTAAGTATGCATTTTTAAAAAACTGTTGTATATTTAAATCAAAGTATAATTTTTAACTTTTTTTTAATGTCTTAAGATGACATTGGCCCTCCTGGTGTAAAGGTGGACATCAGTGGTGACGGTTTGCTCCATATCCAGATTTCTCCTCCAGGAGGATCTGAGCGTGAAGTCATGAGGGACCAATATGATTTGTCTTACCGGATTCTCTATTGGAAGAATTCATCAAATAATGAGGTATGAACTAGTGAAAACAGTATATAAAATTTATGACTTAACTGTTGAGTTTTCTTCAAGAAACTTCTTTACAAGAGTACATATAGGGTGTATCAATCATGTGATCGATTTGGATTGTTTTTTTCTCAAAGATTCTTTAAAAAATCTGGTAAAGATGATACTTATCACAAAGTAATTGAAGTTTTAATCTTTTTCCATTGATGTGGCTATATATAATGATTTGCAGAATTGCAAAACTGAATTTTGTATGAGCTGCTAAATGGCTCACTTTTGCACAGAAGTCATAGAGTTCTTGTGATGCTCTTACGATACGACTCTGTCCGCTGTCTTAATTCATGTAGCTTCCATCCCCTTAAATTCGCTTCCTTCTGTATTTGCAGTTTTATAGTTAGGTATATCATCAAATGATGAAGTCTTGCATGCTTTTAGCTCACATGTTAATGAATCTTTTCATATTCTTGAAATGCTTCTTATAGTAAAACATTTTACAGTAATCTGTAAATGTGTGTGTGTGTAAATACATGGAAGTAAACTGCAACAGGAAAAAGTTTCATTTTGCAGTATGGTGAAAGCAGTTGGTTCTTGCCTGTAAGGTTGGTTTGGTTGGGTTTCTTTTCTGAATGTGTTTGGTTAAGAGAGAATTCTGTTCGTTCTTTTATTTAATCCAAGTGCAGAACAGCATCTTAAGTTTTCACAGAATTATTTCTTCAGCAGAGGCCAATATTCTCATCAGAATTACTCTTATACTGTTTGTGTGCATCTTATTCTTCCAATTTTTCTTTTTCAGGAGGAAATCAAAATGAAAGAGACAAAACAGACGATAGGGACAGTCTCTGATCTAACACCCTCAACTACGTACTGTGTAAAAGTACAAGCGTTCTCAAAAGCTTACAACAAAAACAGTAGTTACAGTGAAGAGGAATGCATCAAAACACCTGGAGGTAGGAAGAGCCTGGGAATTCTTACACCTCTGGAAGTAAATTTGTTAACCTTTTGTAGGCCTTTGCAGGTCTCACTAGTTAAAAAAAATAAAATTGCAGCATGACTTAATGACCTTGCAGAGTTAGCACTGAGTTGGACAGAGATCCATATCAGCAGTCTGTCACTTTGCTGCTCTGTGTTTTCTGCTCTAACTAGACTAACAAACTCCTTCCGTTCTGACCTGATGAAAATTGCATTGATCAGTTTAGAACTCTGTTTTAGAAATTATCTCAGATTCATAACAGTAGTGACAGTGAATTAAGCTTAGTTCTGTAGAATGACTTGTTGATCGGCAAACTTTAATTTCCAGTACTTCCAAGGTACTTTTAGCAGGATGCAAGGAATCACTAAATGCCATATTTACAATAATATTTTATTCTTGAAATGGTCTTAATTCTATGAATGAATTAAACTTTAAAAAAATCATGTGCTGAAGTGGAAGGAGACAAATTGTCAGACTTTATAGCTGAAAGCTCACCTTTGTGCAAAATGAATGTATGTTTGTAGATGGTTTACACTTACTCAGAATATAAAAGCAAGTGGAATTTAATTTGGCCAGTTATCTTCTATTAAGAGGCTGTAACACTAGAAAAAATAATAAATACCAAACTGACTTAAAGCTAAGAAAATGTAATTATAATAATGCTACTTTCTCATATCTTAAGTTCTGAGGATTCATTGTAGTCGTTGCTGCTCTTTCTTTTTCAAGGCTAAAAAGAAACAAATGTTACTTTTTTTTACCTTCATATGAGAAATTCTTTAATCTTACTATTTAGTTATGAGTCTTCCCCATATCCTTCTACTGAAATGAGCCTGTTTATGACCAAGCAGCACACTCAAGACTCTCTTGAGAGAGACAGTCACACAGATCGTGCCCATACCTTCTTGTATCTCAATGCAGAAAATTTTTGTTCTCTGATCATTTGTACTAACTGGAAGTAGAGGTAGAAAGACTCAATTCTCTCATCTTGATTATTTGTAAAGTGTCTCCTGGTATGTATTAATTTTAGTATGTTCAAACTCCTTTCAGTTTGTTTGTTTATTTGTTAGAGATAGAACCAGAGAACATGTTGCACAGCAGAAGAGCAGAGGGGAGAAGGAAGCTTATAAGACTCTTGGACTTAAGCATTGAATAGCTTGTGACTATACTGATAAAAGGTTTCTTTAACTACAATATTTTAGTATCAAAAGCTGGATTCTGTCATGTAAAGGTCTTCTACCATAAGGTCCCAACCCGAAGTCCTTGAATCTGAGCCTAACCTATTAGAAGGTTTTCCACAGTTCCTGGGTTAATATAAGAATGCCGGACCATAGACTTACAGAATGGTTTGGATTGGAAGGGGCCTCCAAAGATCATCTAGTCCAATCCCCCTGCTGTGGGCAGGAACACTTACCCCTCAGTCAGGTTGCTGAAAGCCTGATCCGACCTGGCCTTGGAGGCTTTTGGGTAGTGGGGCTTCTGCAGCTTTTCTGGGCAATCTGTTCCAGTGTCTCACCAGCTTTACACTAGAGAGTTTCTTCCTTGTGTCCAGTGTAAACCTAAAACTGTTGCATCCTGTCCTGTCTCTACAGGCCCTGGTATGAAGTCTCTCTCTATCTTTCTAAGCCCCTTTTAAATATAAAAGGCTGTAATAAGGTCCCTCTGGAGCCTTCTCCAGGCAGAACAACCCTAACTCTCTCAGTCTTTCTTCATAGCAGAGGTGTTCCAACTCTCTGGCCATTTTTGTGACTTTCCTCTGGATCTGCTGGGTCTGAGTTCCCTGGATCTTGAGTTCCCTGTCTGTCTTGTGCTGAAGGCTCCAGAGCTGGACACAGCACTCTAGGTGGGGTCTCACCTGAGTAGAGGAAAATCACATCCCTCAACTTGCTGGCCATGCTGCTTCTTATGCAGCTCAGTATACAACTGGCACTTTACTGGATCATGTCCAACTTTTCATCCTCTAGTCCTCCTCTGCAGGGCTGCTGACAATCCCTTCATGCCCCAGCCTGTACTGATACTGCGAATTGCCCCAGCCCAGGTCCAGGACCTTGCACTTAGCTCTGTTGAACTTTGTGAGGTTCACATGGGCCCATTCCTCAAGCCTGTCAGGGTCCCTCCAGCAGGTGTCCATTCCCTCAAGCTAATCAGCTATGCCACTCAGCTTGGCATCAGCAAAGCTGATGATGCCATGTTTGAGCTCTGAAGTGAAATTCATCTCGCCTTTCTATACAGACAAAGCAAAATCTTGTGCTGAGCTTGTGTGTAGACTACTGGTATTGAAAATAACTGCGGTAGCCTTAAGATTGTTTTCTTCTTAGATAAGCATCTGAAAGGAATAGATGCTTACTGGAAGATCCATTTTCTCTCCTTTAGCTGCCTTGTATTCATCTGAGGCTTATAATTGGAGTTGCTTTTTGGGCCCCTGAAGACCCTGCAAGTCTAGGCACTCATTTCCTGGCTAAGTAACCACAGGCCAAGTCACTGTAGTAATTGTTCGTTCTTACTCCATAGCCCATGGGAATTCTTACTCCTGTATCTCTGTCCTTTTAAAGGAGAGAGCTTGATCAATTACCTCTTCTGTTCCTTGAGGTTTAGACCCTCTACACAAGCAATAGCACAAGAGTTTTATATGCGTTTAGTGTTTCATGGTAGCTGTCAATGTACAGCCCTTTTGTCCTGCTGTCAAAGGACATCTAACTAATATAGCTGGGAATAACTGGATCTTGGTTCTGATCCTGTCTGCAAATGCCTGTGTTCTTATATTGGAGAAATGTTTTGTGCTGCCTTTTTTTTTTTCCTTAGGAAAATTATTTAGGATATTGGAATGACATTTTTGTAGTGATCATCATGGTTGGGTGTAGTACTGTAGAAACGTGAAATTTTATGATAATTCTGTAGCACATTTGGAGATATGTTCTTTAATATTTGTAGTTGATGAATACCTACACTGAATGGGTTTTATTCACCTTTTTTAGATAAGATTTCATCTCTGATCATTTTAGCAACATTTGCAAGTGCCCTGGTTGCTGTCTGTCTTGTCGCCACACCACTTGTTTTTGTCCTGTATCAAGCCTACAATAAAATCAAATATGTGTTCTTTCCATCATGCCAGCCTCCTTTGAACATAGAGGTAAGTTGTGATGTATTTTTCTTATTCATTAAGCAGATATATGTTTAGAAAAAGAATAAAAAATACTAAGAAAAAGTGTTTATTATCCTATGTTATTACAGGTATGCCAAGAATAACTGCATAGGTTTTAACAAAGTGCAGGAATTCCTATGGAAAAAAAAATGATGGTATCAATTTCTAGAATTCTACAAATGTTTTAACTTTTATGGTTTTCTTCTGTCTGTGCAAAAGTGTTGCTAACGATTCTTCATTGCAGAGAGTGTGCATGTGATAATGTGCATTTGCCCTGCTATGTGAAAACAGAAATGTTTTTCTGTTGCATTATCTGGAAGAGCATGATCTAGCCTTTTTGTCATCTGTTAAAAATCAGAGGAGGTGAAAATGCAAGCCCAGTCTTGAGAGGATATTTTAGTGTAGCAGGCAGCAAATGCTTCTGCTGACTCCTGACCTAGAGCCCTCGCTGGCCTCCAAAAGGACAGATGTTGTCCAATTTCCAGCTCAGCTTGGCACAGGTAGTACTTAACAAGAATCCTGCTCTGTAATGAACAGGGCAAACATGTAAGTGTGGATATATTTTGAAATGTACCAAGAACTGCTTTTCACTGTGCTTTCTGCTGTGTCTCTCAGAACATTGATGCTGAGCAGTGTAGAGTCTTCCCTATGCATGTCATCTTCTCACTGAAGCTCCTAGGATGTGTGGTGTACAAAGCTTTCTGAAAAAAGCTGTAATTTAAAACCAGTTTCATCCCTTACAAGGGCTAATCTGAATTTAATTTCTTTGTAAGGCAGCATTTTAGCTGGTTTGCTCTGTAGCATACTGGTATCATAGTTTATACAATGCTATTTAGAATCTTTTTTGATGGATTTGGTATAAATGACCACATCAGAGAATAAATTTAAAGCATGTAGGTTAGACAATAGTACGCTGTTGAGAGCCGTGTAAGGCTTCGTATCCTGCTGCAGCAGCTTGCTTTCCCTTTCTTCTTTCAAACTTTGCTTTTTAATTGGTAATGGTTTGTAGACTTGGCAAACACATCTGTCATCCCTGTGCTACCATGTGATCTTTGGAAGTGTTATAAATTAGAGTTTTCCTTCAGTTCTTGTGTGGCCTCCTAAGGCTATAACTAATGAAATATTGCAATTTTATAGATGATTGACAACTGTGAGCACAGCAGAAGAGTTAAGATTGTTAGCATCATTCTTTAGTGTTCAATTATAGGAATGTAACTAAACTCAATCCTAACTTCGAGTTTGTGAACTTAGAGAAACAAATGATGTTATAAGTAAAAACGTGACGCTACTGAATCTAATAAGACGGATTTGTACAACAGTAATGTTAAGCAGAATCATTATTTAGATATTATGTATGAATGTTCATTTATTTGGGTTTTTTCCTTCTTCCCTCCTTCTCTTTTTGCAGGATTTTGGACGACAGCTCTTCATTAGTCCTTATCTGTCAACTCCAGAAGAACCAATAGAAAACTGTTCAGTAATTGAGCCTGTCATCACAGAAGTAGTAAATCAAATTGATTTTGATGACTACAAACACTCTAAACAGAGCAGTCGAGATTCAGGAAATTATTCTAATGAGGATGATGCTTCAGGAAGCAAAGCATCAGAAGAAACGCTAGGAAGGGAAATACTATAACTTTTAGGAGAACTAAATTCATATATGGGACTGTTAGTGTAATAAACACCTAAAACTCTTTTGTTATGCAAGTCACAGCATAAGGAAGGCGGCGTTACTGTGGGGTCTTTGCTTCAGGTTGCCAAATCTGCAGTTTCTAAGCGGAAAGTTACAGACCCTCTCTCCTGCAAGCGGACAGAAGTTAACACACAATTGACTCATCAGACCTTACACCATTCTGAATTGACTTTGAATTGTATGATAAAAAGAAACCATCTACATAAAGAGGAGCAGATCTGTACACTTTATATACTTGAACTAGATAACCTCAGCGAAGACATTATCTGCAAGAAGAGTTTCTTGCCATCGTGTAGATTTGTTTTGAATGCCAGGGTGTACTGTGAGAGCAGCCTTAAATTCCAGTATTGAATCTTACAATGTTTACACATGCAGAAGGAAATGCAGTTTTGCACTGCCTTTAGGATAAAAAAATCAAACATCCAGGACAGATGTATGCTGCAAGAGGAAGCTAAAGAACACTTACTTTGAATGACAAGATGTGTTAAGAAGCCTGTTTTGCTTTGTTTTGGTTTTTTTCCTCACCATGGCTACACAACCAGAAGAGTAAAATATTGACTTCTCATTTAATTGTATTTAGAAATGTGAATCTCTTAACAAGGAAAAAACTTATTTCTGTAATTAGAAGGTACCCAAGTTGAATTTTGAAAATGCTTTTAAACAAATGGTGAGGATGCTTGTCACTCAAAACTTTTCAGCTTAGTCTCGTTTTGCCAACAGGCTTTTCTTTGCACAAGTTATAAGGATATGCTGCAATAATGTTTCAATTTGTATACAGTTTTCTTTTTATAAAGTCTTTTAAATAGCTTATTTTTTACGAAGAAATTTATGTAAACTGTTAGCTTCATGTGGGCTGTTTATTGTAACAAGCAACTGTTGGTGTTTATATGTTCGGTTTTTTATGAATTTTGAAGGTGTCATCAAATGTTATTATGTCCCTGTGTTCACTGGAGAACATAATAAATTTTGCACATTTACTTCCTTTATCCCTTTCTTGTTTCCATGTGGTTTTGAAATAGTGACGTTGAAGCTACACCACAGATACTTAGGAAGTTCCTGTGAGTCTTCAGTTCTTGTCCTTCCTAAAAAACCCAATGTGAAGAATATCCTCTATAAATTAGGGCTTATGTTGGGAGTGTTGCATGATTTTGACAAATCAGAAAGAAAATACTAATTCATTTTCTGACTGGGGGCTTAAAATGAGAACACTAAACATGAGGATTCCAGTCAGTGTGGTCTTTGCTAAGTGGCTCCCGTCTGTGAATTCTTGTGAGACACTTAAACAAAGGACAGTACGAAGTTGTCTGTATGGTCTCTCCAGTAGAATCCAAGTTTGCTGTGAGGATGCACCTTGTTTATGCAACTGTTCCTTTCAGTGATTTGTATTGTAGCTGGCTTCCCTGGCTGGTTTTGGTTTGGTTTTTTTTTCTCCTGGACAACATCAATTTCAGTCTGTTTTTCTTATTTGTGACCTACTCCAACAGTAGAGTTCAGGGACATTTTCATTCAGGGGATTTGCAAAAGTGTAGCTATTAACTTTTTGTGGGGTTTATGTTGTTTGAGGTTTATTGTGGTTTTAGTTTTTCTTATCTAAGGAAAGTATTTCATCTGATATTTCATCAGCTAACTATGGGCTGTTGTTTTGATAACTGTTTTCTGTGGCACAAGATTTTATTTACCTCCTGGAGTTTCAGCACTCTGGAAGAAAGCTATTTAATGTGAAGGATTTCACTGTTAGATTTCAAATGATGGTAAAGCAGTCTACTGTGAGTGTCTCCAGAACAGGCAGAATTCACAACTTGCAGGCAATCCACATTTTCTTCAGCATATAGAACTAAATGAGCAGTAGTGAATATAT